TGGATATTGGTATGCTCGAAGTTGTCCCAGAGGCTCCTTATACTATCTTCATATTTTTGGATTCTTTTTTTTTCCTTTTGTTCTTCCGGTTAGATATTTTTTGCTTCTTTGTATTTCAAATCTTTGAGTTGATTCTTGAGATCCTCTAGTCTGCTGTTGAAAGTCTGTATAATATTCTTTATTTCAGTCAGTGTATGCTTAATTTCTAAATGGTCCTTTTTCATATTCTCGAAGGTTTCACTAGATTTATTGAGGGTCTTACTAAATTTATCAGCGGTTTCTAGAAAATTCTTGAAAAACCTTATAACCATGGTTTTGAACTCTATATTCAGTAGTTTTCTTTCCTCCATTTCTGTCATTTGTAACCTGTTTCTTTGTCTCCACATTTTTTATGCTTCCCTGTGTTGATAGAGTGACTTTCTGTGTTGGGTGTCCTATAGGACCCAGTGGCTCAGCCTCCCCAATTACCTGAGGTGGACACTCTTGGTGCACCCCTTTGTGGGCTGTGTGCACAGTCTTGTTGTAGTTAAGCTTGGATTGTTGTAGGTATCACTGGGAGGAATTGATCTCCAGGCCAATTGGCTGTGAGTATCAGCTGTGTCTGCAGTGGGAGAACTTCTGTGCTGGAGACACCCCTCCGGGGCAAGACTTGCTTCAGTGGGGCTTTGGTGCTCACTGAGTCTGTCCCCTGAGTGTGTCCCTTATGGATCTGAGGAGTTGTAATCTGGATGGTCCCACTCTGACTACTGGGTACACTGGCTCTTGGATCTCTAAGGAGGTGCTAGTTTAGCCTCGGCCTGAGACTATCCAGCAGGAGCTATGGAGAGATCTGCAGATTCCTCTTCTTTGTTTGTGGTTTGGAGATTCCCAGATGAGGCCCAGCTGTGAAGCAATGCAAGCTACTGTGGGGCCTTGGGCCCTCTTTTGGATGTTTTGGGTCTCTCTGACCCAGCTGCAGTTTGTTAGGTAATTTCAGATTGCAAAGGCCAGGCCATTCATATGCAAAAGCCTCTGTGCACAGCTTGGGTAGGGCTGGGTCTCAGGGAATTGACAGGGCTGGGCAAACAGCTATGGCTGATCCTCAGTCTTGCCCTAAGAGGCCCCTGAGTCTCAGTGTAATGTAATGGGGTGACCTGCGGAGATGACCACCAGGGACTCAGATCAAAATTTAGGAGCCTTTATTAAGCTGGCCAGCGACTACAGTTACAGCACCTTGCTGAAGCAGAGGCTGAACTGCAGTGCTGACTACAGGAGTTACATTTTATTATGAAATTCTGTGCAGGCCCAGAGAAGAACATGTCTTTCAAATTCTGGGCCCCCAATATGGAGGAAACTCTCTTTAATTTGGGTAGGGCTGGGTCTCAGGGAATTGACAGGGCTGGGCAAACAGCTATGGCTGATCCTCAGTCTTGCCCTAAGAGGCCCCTGAGTCTCAGTGTAATGTAATGGGGTGACCTGCGGAGATGACCACCAGGGACTCAGATCAAAATTTAGGAGCCTTTATTAAGCTGGCCAGCGACTACAGTTACAGCACCTTGCTGAAGCAGAGGCTGAACTGCAGTGCTGACTACAGGAGTTACATTTTATTATGAAATTCTGTGGAGGCCCAGAGAAAAACATGTCTTTCAAATTCTGGGCCCCCAATATGGAGGAAACTCTCTTTAATTTTACTTTTTCCAGTCCTTTGTCTCCCTAATTTGGAATGAGACTTCCGGGCCTTCTGAGAAAGAAGGCCTGAATGCTGGGAAAGGGCCATGAGACCATATCTCAAGGCCTGGCTTGACGTCAGCACTGACAACTCTGTCTGGGGCATAGTTTATGGCCTCTCTGGAATGGGAGTTGTCTTATTTTCCTTATTATTTAAAACAGAAGCCAGAATAGCAGGGTTAAAATTTCAAACGGTAGTTTTTATATAAGATGGATACTTCATTCCCCACTGGTTTTATGTACATGAGTCAAATCATTGACTCATGTTGGGGTCATTGTTGGGGAGGCAGTTATATTAATTGACCACTCAGGACTATAAGCTTGATAGAATTAATCCTTTGCTGAATAAAGTCAGTGGGCCTGTTCATAAGATAAGGGCCTGGAATGAGGGTCCAATGAGTAGTCTTTAGAGGGTCCAAAGAGTCCTGGACTCTCTATTTTGCCTGGTTGTCTTGAGGTGGGCGTGATGAAGACATGTCAGGATCCTGTCAACCTTGACTGCCTGGGGGTGGTCCTTTCCAGGTGGGAGTCAGTCCTTGGGTGGCAAATTTCTTTACCCAAACAGAGTCACCAGGTTGGAAGGGATGAACCAGATACAGGCAGAGCATCTCAGACGTGCTTCTGGTCTGCTTTCTAGGTAGACTGTAAAGCCTGAAAGAACTTGAGTAAAGATTGGTTATGGATTTCAGCTTTTCTAGATTGGGTTTATTGTAAGCTGGTGAGATGGGTAGTTCAGGGTCTGGAAGAGTCACGAGAATCTGTAGAGGCCCCACTGGCTTTAGGGCAGCCTCCTGGGCTGCTTTGTCTGCAGCCTAGTTCCCTCTTGCTTCTGGGGAGTCCCCTTGTCTAACATACATAGAGGTGGAAAGACTTAGTTACACCTGGAAGAGCCAATTAGCCCCTCATCCTTGCTCTGCTCATGTCTGTCTAAAAAAATCGCTGCAAGCTCCTCTGAGAGAAAGCCACCCTCGAGTTCTGCCTGATGCCAGACAGTCCAGTTTCTCCCCGTATGAGTCTGGGTCCCCAGAGACTTGCCCAGAACTGGAGTTCAGAGCTGTCGGGAGCTTGAGACTCCCTCCCGATTGAAAAGTTGCCAGCCCTTTCCACGTGCACCTCCATACCTCTGCACTTTACTTCCGCACCTCCTCCGAGTCTCAGTGTGCTTTTCTCTTTCCTTCTAGTTGTAGAATTTCCACTCAGCCAGACTTCCTGTGGTTCTGGATGATGTCCATTTTGTCTTTTAGTTGTATTTTTGAAGTGGTTGTACAAGACAGCAATTTCTGGTGTTTACATATGCCACTATCTTGGTTTCTCCTCAAGAAGCACATTTTAGATGATACCATTAAAGAAAGTAAGGAGAATTAGGAGATTATTAAAAAAGGAGAAGATGAAAAAATTGTATTAAGGGTAGATTAATTTTATAGGTATGTTTAACAGATTCATGGAGGGTGGGCAAATATATTTGGAGTCTTCAGTTAAAAAGCAGAAAATAAAATAACCAAATTCAATTAAAAAAATAAAGTAAATAAAAATCAAGGGACTGTTGCATATGCTATTTTTAAAAAATCAAAAGAAAAGAGTGAGTGATAATTCACAGTGATTAAAAGGAGGAAACTATATAAAATGATAGAAGGCAGAAGAGCAGAATGGTTAGTTAATGGTGTTGGGTAAAACATACAATGAAAAGATGTGAACTATGACATCAAAACCACAAAATGTTGGGGGTATGTAAAAATCTGGAGTTTTAGAATGTCTTCAAACCAAATTTGTTATCCACAAAAGAAACTGTTATAAGTATATGTTGTGATAGGTAAACCTTATGGGAACCACAAATAAAAAAACCCCACAGTTCATAAGCAACAGATTGTGAGAAAAAAATCTAAACCCATCACTACAAAAAGTCATTGAGCCACAAGGGAAGAAAGCAAGAGAAGAAGAAAGAAACAGAGAGAAACTACACAACAGCCAGAAAACAATGAACAAAATGCCAATGGTACACACCTATCAATAATTACTTTAATGTATTGGATTTAAATTCTCTCATCAAAAGACATGAAGTTGCTCAATCGATAAAAAAACAAACAAACAAGACCTATCTTCATAATGTCTACAAGAAATTCACTTCAGATATCAGGAAACACAGACTGAAAGCAAAGGAATGGGAAAAAATGTCCCATTCAAATGGAAACCAGAAGAAAACTGGGTAGCTATACTTATATTGCTACAGTAGGCAGCTAGTCAGGTATTAACAAAAGAGAAGGGAGCAAACCTGGCTAAGAGTAATTAAGTGTGGGATCTATAGCTTCTGGACACTCCAGGGTTCAGCTGCACTGCCCAGCCAAGGGGATCAGCATCCCACCCCCAGGGGCAGGAAGAACCAGCTTTGCAATCTCTGGGAGACGAGCACAGACAGCAGGGGAAATCCCTCTGCTGAGACAGACACAGCAGAAGCCAGAGGATGAAACAAAACGATGAGACATGTTTAACCAAGATGATGACTAAAAGGGAAGAGTCTAGCCAGGGAAAAATCTGGGAAAAAGACTAAATAGGAAAAGGGCACAAGACCTAGAAGACCCCAGTACAAGCTCATGAAGAATTAGGAGAAGATTGGTTAGTCTGAAAGAAATATTTCTGTTGCCCCAAAACAAGGAAATATGGGAAAGCTTAACAAGGCCTGAGGTTGGTTGATGTGCTCTCTCTTCATAGAAGCTGTGTGGACCCAGCCTGGGCTGAAGCATGGTGCCGGTGGGGCCGGAGTGCAGGGTGGGCACAGACTATGCTGGACTATCCGAGCCCAGTGGGATGGTGCTACAGTTCTGGAGCCTGGCCCTCCTGCTGGGCCCTTGTGCTCACCAGGCCCTGGACATCCATCCACGAGCCACCTGGTCATGGGTGAGACACTGGCATCTTGGGGCAGTCCTTAGTTTTTGCTCCAATAAATCTTACCACTGCACCTCACATCCTCCTGTGAGCCTGAAATGCTTCTCTTGCAACTCCGTGGAAGAATCCTATTTCCACCTTCAACACAGATGATGATGCTTTGGGGGTTCCAGCCTTTCTCTACGTTGGAAGCATCAGCTAACAGCCTCTGTCCCAGTCTCAGATCCCCGTCCCTTTCCCCCTAGGTCAGGCAGGGAGAGGCTTCCACACCCTGTGTAGGCATGATCCACAGCCCTTGCCTGCAGGAAGCTGTTACTGAAGACCTACCATTCTGCCTCATCACCCCTAAAAGATGTCAGGGGTAGAAGTCTCTGAAGAGGAAATGAGAAAGGCCAGTAATCCAGGACAAGAGGGATAGAGAAGCTGAGACAGATAGTTAAATAGCCAAGCAGTTTACAGCCATGTAGTAAATCACAAAATCCTATCTTCCCTAATCAAGGACACTTAAGAGTAAGAACTTGTATATATATATATGCATAACCCATGGAGATAGACAATAGTGTGGTGAAGGCCTGAGGGAGGGGGTTGGGAGAGAGGTGAAGGGACCAATGTGGGAAATACTTTCAACAATAAAGATACATTTAAAAAATAAGAAAAAAATAAAAATATTAAAACACCAAAAGAAAAGAGTAAATAGTTTACACTTCTCCCAAACCAGAGGGTAAATAGCTTAAATCATCCTACTAGGGATATGAATAGCAGAAATCTAATTAGTGCCACCATTTGTGCCAAACACACTCAAGGACAGATGAAATTAAGGGAATAATCTCATTTTGGTGCATTAGCAACGAGCTGATGAATATTGTATTAAGATCTCCCATAAGACCTTCCCTAAACTCTCAGCCTTTAAAAACCCTCAAAATGAAGGACCCAACATACACCCTCCTTCCCAGGATCATGCCTGTGCCTTTCTCTTCCCTTCTCTTCCCCCCATTCGTGCATCTCCTAAACTCTAAGGGATCCCATGAGACTTGCAACCAGGGGAGCAATGGGCAGCAGCAGCTCGTCCAGGGCTTGCTCCCAAGCCTGTCTCCAGGACCCCCTAAGTCTCTGACCGGCTCTCAGGACTGGTCCCTTTCCGGTAATATGTCTATTAAAGACAAAAATGACTTTAAAACAAAGACTATAATAAAAGACAAAGAGAGCATTACATCATGTTAAAGGGGTCAATCCAACAAAAGGATGTAAGATTTATAAATATTTATGCACCCAACACAAGAGCACCTAAATATATAAAGCAAATATGAACAGACTTAAAGGAAGGGATAGACAGTCTTACAGTATTAGTAGGGGATGTTAATAACTCACTTGCACCCATGGGTAGGTCATTCAGACAGAAAATCAATAAGGAAATATCAGCCTTAAACAACAGATTAGGCCAGAGGTACCTAAAAGATATATATAGAACATTCTATCAAAAAGCAACAGAACACACATTCTTCTCAAGTAAACATGGTACATTCTCCAGGATAGATCACATATTAGGCCATTAAACAAGTCTTAGTAAATTAGAGAAGATTGAAATCATATCAGTCATGTTTTCTGACCACAATGGCAATAAAAGCAAAAATAAGCAACTATGACAATATCAAACTAAAAAGCTTCTGCACAACAAAGAAAACCATCAACAGAATGAAAGCCAAATTACTGAATTGGAGAAGATATTTGCAAATCATTTATCTGACAAGGGATCAATAAACTAACTAAATAAAGAACTCATACAACTTAATAACAAAAATACAATTGAAGTATGAACAGAAGATCTAAATAGACATTTTTTTCTAAAGAAATACAGATGGCCAAAAGGCACATAAAAAAAGGCTCAACATCACTAATAATCAGAAAAATTCAATGAGATATTACCTCACACCTGGCAGAATAGATATTATCAAAAAGACAAGAAATAACACGTGTTGGTAAGAATGTGGAGCAAGGGAGCCCTTGTGCACTGTTGGTGGGAATTTAAATTGGTGCAACCATTATGGAAAACAGTATGGAAGTCTGTACAAAATTTAAAAATAGAACTACCATATGATCCTGCATCTCCACTTAGGGTATACCTGAAGAAAGAGAAAACAATCATTCAAAAAGAGATATGCACTCTTATGTTTATTGCAGCATTTATGCAATAGCCAAGACATGGAAACAGCCTAAGTGTCCACTAATGGATGGATGGATACAGAGTTTCTTTCACACATCCATTTATCCACTTCCTTTATCTTCTTGCTTCATCATTCATTTATTCCTCTGATAATTATTGAGCATCATTAAGTGGCATGTCTTCAGTGAGCCACTAGGGATATTGAGAATGAATAAGTCCCAATACTTGCCTTGCAAAATTACAATAAATATTATGGAACTAAGTTTTTATTAGGAATACTTAAAACAAATTCTAACCGGTAGTCAGGTATATTTCTCATTCACTCTCTCTCCTCTGTAGCACTTGGAATTCAGCTTTTTCATTTGTTTTGTTCTAGATGCTTCACATTAGATAGGATATGTTTATTTGTCTCTGCCTAGATGTGGTCTATTATGTAATTAATGCCCTTCTTTGTTTTTTATTATGATATTTGTTGTAAATTTTATCTTATATTGGTCCAGTTACACCAGCTTTCTTTTCTATTTGCATGGATTTTTGGCTGTCCCTTTACTTTTAGTCTGTGTGTCTATCTTTCTGAAGTGAGCCGCTTGTAGAAAGCATGTAGATGCATCTTGTTATTTTTATACATTGAGCCACTTATGCTTTTTGATTGGAAATTTTCTCCAATACATTTAAAGTAATTATCGACAAGGGTGTACTTATTGACATTTTGTTCATTGTTTTCTGGTTGTTTTTGTAGTTCCTCTCGGTCCTTTTCTTCTTCTAGTTCTCTCTTCCTTCCGGTTTGATGACTATTTAGTGGTATGTTTATATTTCATTCTCATTTTCTTTTGCATATTTACTGTAAGTATTTGCTTTGTGGTTACCATGAGGTTGCATACAACTTTCTGTGAATATAAGAGTCTATTTCAAATTTATAGCAACTTGAATATGAACATAGTCCAAAGCTATATTTTAACTCTTCTCCCAATTTTATGTTTTTTGATGTCACATTTAACATCTTTTAATTGTATATATCTATTAACTATTTGCTGTAGCTTTACTAGTTTTGTCTTTTGACCTTTTTATTAACTTTATAATTTATTAATACCCTACCTTTATTATATTTCCTTTACACTCATATGATTTCTTGTTATTAAGTAGTACCATTTCTTTTCAGTTTAAAAAGACCCTTCAACATTTCTTGTAAGGCCAGTATAGTGGTGATGAAGTCTTAGCTTTGCTTATCTGAATAACTGTTTCCCGTTTAATTCTTTTTTAAAAAACAAATGTTCTATTGATTTCAGAGAGGGAGGGAGAGGGAGAGAGACATCAATGATGAGCGGGAATCATCAACTGGCTGCCTCCTTCACACCCTCTACTGGGGACTGAATCTGCAACTTCAGGAATGTGCCCTGACTGGGAATTGAACCATAACCTCCTGATTCCTGGATGGATGCTCAACCACTGAACTACACCAGCCAGGATCTCCTTTAGTTCTTAGTAATAACCTTGCCAGGTAGAGTATGGTTGGTTGTAGGTTTTTCCCTTTCATCACTTTGAATGTATTGTGCCAATACCTTCTGGCCTGCAAGGTTTTTGCTGAAAAATCTGCAGATATCCTTATGGGGTTTTTCTTGTGTGTAATAAGTTGTTTTTCTCTTGCTGCTTTTGAAATTCTTTCTTTAGTTTTAACTTTTGACATCCTATTTAATAAAAGAGTGATATGCAAATTAACCATCACTCCACAACAAAGATGGCGGCGCCCATAGCAGCCAGGGCAGGACACTGGCAGGGTCACCCTGGCAATGTGAGGCCAGCAGGCAATTGTGCTGGTGCCATGGCGACCCGGGAGCTGGCAAGCATGGCCTGCAGGCAGAACCCAGCAGGGCCTGTGTGGCAGTTGCTATGGCAACCCGCGAGCAAGCAAATGTGCCCACAGATAGCACCCAGCAGGGCCTGCTTGCCCATCACTGTGGTGTGGAGTAGGCAGGCCCTGCAGAGAGCAGAGAACCATAGGGAGTGGGCCCAAACCATCAGTTGGACATCCCCTGAGAGCTCCTGGATTGGAAAAGGTGCAGGTTGGCCTGAGAGACCACACCCACGCCCCCGGCCTGAGCACTAATTTTGTGCACCAGGCCTCTAGTTTTAATTATAATGTGTCTTGGTGTGGATCTGAGTTTTTCTTATTTGGGCTTCTTGGACTTGAATGTTTGTTTCCTTCCCCAGATTAGGAAAGCTTTAGTCATTATATCTTCAGATAAGTTCCCTGGTCCTTCCTCTTTTCTCTTTCTGGGACCCCTATAATACAAATTTTATTCTGCTTAATGATGTCCCATAGATCTTATGATGTGTCTTCACTTTTAATTTTTCTTATTTTTTTCTGATCTGTCTAGATGAGTTCCCATGCTTTGTCCTTCAGTTCACTGCTTTGTTCTTCTGCTGCATCCAGTCTGACATTGAATCCCTCTAGTTACTTTTCAGTTCAGCTACTCTTCAGCCTTGTTTGTGACTTCTGTTAGGTGCTTTTTCTTTTTCACATTTTCTCTCTCTTTGTTGAAGTTCTTACTGTGCTCATCCACTCCTCTCCCAAGTTCAGTGAGCATTTTTATGATCACTACTTTGAATTCTTTGTCAGGCAGATTACTTCTTTGCTTTATAGAGTGTTTTTTTTTTGTGAGGTTCTTATTGTTTTGTTTTGAACATATTTCTGTCCACTTTTGCCTGTTTCTACACATTAGATGAATCAGCTACCTCTCCCAGTCTTGGAGATGCCTGTGTAGGAGATGATATGTGGGTATTACAAGCACAATCCCCCTGGCCACCAGAGCCAGACTCCCATGGGTGTCCTTGTGTAGGCTGCATGCCCACCTGCTATGGTGGGGTGGAGGATGCTGTGTGGGTGCAGGTGGGGTGCTCATCCAGCTGGCCGGGACATGGTTGTGACATGGAGGTTGCTGGGGAACTCTCACAGCTGCTAGGGAGGTGAGAGGAAGAATTCTGAAATGGTGCCAGGCAGCCAGGACTAGCAAGATAGGATCAGGTTGCAGAAATGGTGCCCATTAGTATCTCTGTCCATGGTGAGGATCCCAACAGGTTCCTGCCTCTCTGAAGAAGCTTTAAGATTATTAATTGTGTCTCTTTCACATGTATTTAGGTACTTTTCAAACTGCTGCCTTTGTGCTAGGTCAACAGGACAAGCAAGTCTGCATACACTCCTGTTAAAGTGACTCTCCATTCCTTAGAGTTCCATGATTTTCCTGGATGTAATCCCCACTGGTTTTCAAAGCAAGATATTTTGGCAGCTTGTCTCTTAGAGCAGGACCCAGGATTTGGGGGTGCTTGATGTGGGGCATGAACCCTTGCTTCTTTTTTTTTTTTTTTACTTGGGTCTTTTATTACAAGCACTCTCTATTAACACAGGAAGAGAGTAGAACGTATCAAACAGATGACAAAGGCGGCTCATCATTCATCTTTGCCTATATGCATTACAAGTGATTTTGAAGAAGGTCCTAGGGCTTAAGTTTTTCTGCAAAACTTTCACTGAAAGTATACAAATGTGATCTATTTCTCAAATTATAAAATGAAACTTCTCCCAACTCATAGTCCAGAAAAATGCCTATCCGTTCCCAGTTGCCTGAATCCCATGTGACAGATGTATTTGCCCAGGACTGAAGCTGCCAGCAGCCATTTCTTGGGGATGGTGGCATAGGAGCATTCTTGGGGAAAGATTCCTTACACACGCCTAAGGACCATGCCCCTGTGCCTCTTACTTCTACCTGCCAAAAATGCCTGCCAGCATCAAATCCCTCAGAACTCAGGACAGCTGGGTAAGATAATTTGGAGCTGTGGGTGGATATTTGGTTTTTCTCTTCCATTAATTTTTCTTCAACATTTGTTGTTTCAGTTAGCAAACTGATAAGCATTGCATTCTGTTCCTTTTCCAAAAAATTTTTAAGTTGTTTAACTTCAGAGTGCAATTCGTCCTTTTGATGTTCTATCCTCTGTCTCAATTCAAAACATTTCGACACTTGCATTTCTGACTGATTTTCAGTATCTTTAATCTGCTCGCTCAAGGACTCAATATAGCTCTTGAGCTTCCTCCTGTGAGTAGCTGCAGCTTCTTCAATGGGCATCAGGGGGAGATCCCCGTGATTAGAGGAGACCCTGCACTGGGCACACAACAGCTGCAGGTCCTTCTCACAGAACAGGGCCAGACCCTCACGGTGCTTCTTACACAGGGGTTCCTCTTGCCTTTTCCTCTTTCCCCTCATGCCGGGAATCTGCTGAACAATCTCGGTCATGTGACACAAAGAAGGGTGTTCCTCTTCAAGCTCCTGTCAGGGCAGTGGTAGAGGCAGACGGGGCAGGGAAAGGTGCCCTGTAGACCTTCCCAGCGCTGGTGGATGCAGGAGGAACAGAAGTTGTGCCCACACTCAGTGGTCACTGGGTCTCTCAGGTAATCCAGGCAGATGGGACAGCTGGCCATTGTGCAGGGAGGGTGTCTGTCCCAAGACAGTCTCGTCAGTCCATGTGATCCTCCAGGAGTGAGGAAAAGTGAGAAGCTGAGGTCTGCTCAGGCTTCCCTCCCTGTGGAAGCCACTAGGAGTTTCCAAGAAGAGTTCTAGCCAACTGCTGTAGTCCAGTCTTCTTGTCGCCCTCTCCTGTATTTAACACCACTTTGCACAAGGGATGTAGAGTGCTCCTGGTCAAAAACCAAGCGCAACCCAAGTTATATGTCGTTTCTGGAGCCTGCTCCTTTGAGTGAGTCCCTGAAGTGTGTCTCCAAGAAGAGTCTCCGACGCCAGTCTCCTACCCATTAAATGTTTAGTAATGTGAGTCTGGCCTATATATACCACTAGGAGGATTAATCTTTTTAAGACCTCACCCACCAAAGGCTCCTCCTTGGAGGTGGGACTTGTGGGAAAGGGTGGTACTAGGATGATCTTTAGAAGTATGGTCAATGGGATCTCCTCTTATTCCTGCAGGCTAAGAGGGACTGACCTTGTTAATATGCATAATCTAATTTGTACCTTTATAATCCTCCCTTGAATACTTCAACACCTTTTAATCCCATTTGGCTGAGGAGCAAACGAAAATGAACAGTAAAATCTTGCCAGAGCTTAGGGGATCAATCCTTGCTTCTTGGTGACAAGTTCTGTGTTTCTGAGCTCCCTCCCAATTGTGGATTGCCCCCCGTGGAGCAAGAGCGTATCTCTGCCTCTCCTGGCTGTCTCCATGTGGCTCTTTTATCCCATGTTGCAGGTTTACTGTTCATCTAGTTTTCAGGTCTCTTTCCAAGAACATTATTCCATATGCAGCTGCAGATGTGTTTGTGGGAGGAGGTGACTTCAGGCTTTTCCTACACTGTCATCTTGAATCCCTTTGCCTCTTTTCATGACATTTTGTATGTAATTTTTTCAGCACCTCCGTGATATAGATCTGGGATTGGCAAACTTTTTCTGTAGGGACCATATTATAAATATGTTAGGCTTTGAGAACCATACAATCCCTGTTCCAAAAACTTAACTCTGCTTCTGTAGAGGAAAACAGTCCTAGATGATACAGAAATAAATGGGAATGGCTTCATCCCAACAAAACTTTATGGCACAGGCCAGACTTGCCAACCCTGGATGTAGATGATCATTCCCATTTATTGTCTTTTTATCTACAGAGGCAAGTCTTCAACGCAACCCTGTCTGTGCTGGAGCCCGCCCTCTTAAACAGGTAGCACAGGCAGAGGGATAATGGCTGGCTGGGAAGGAAAAACTGAGTGGGAGAAGGGAGGCCAGATGACAAAAACCCAAAGACAATCCATGAATATCTAAAATTAGGGTGGAAAGGCAGCAATGACAGGGAGAGGATGGGTTGAGGGTCATTGTAGGAATAGATTGCAGATGAGTTTGTAACTGATTGATACATGATGGGGCACTCGATCTGGGAATGAACATATAAGGTAACCCAGCTCCTGGTGGGGTGTGCATAACCTATGGTTACTGAAAAGAGAAAACTCCAAGGTAAGGCAGCCTGCCTTGGGAACCATACAGCTGCCCCTCACCAAGCATGACGGACACAAGGGTTTGGCCGTCAGCGAAAACCTCCTGAGTAAACAGCCCCTTTCCAGAGCCATGGCGGTGAGTCAGGTACCGGCCGTCTTCCGACTGGGACGGCGCTGACCTGCACTAATCAGCGACATAACTCGGGTAGCCATTCAGCACCGTTGTCCACAGTTGTGCCCTGTAAACTCATACCCAGCTCGCAGCTGCAGGTTTCCTGCAGAACCCATTTGTTTTGCATGTTTTCAGATTAGTGCTTATGCTTTTGTTGGTCTTGTTGCCTATCTCTGATGCGCAAGCTTTTTCTGATGTTCTGATCAAAAGAAATCCATTCTTTTCCCAGTTTCCTGCCCTTTGCACCTATGTTATAGCATTAGTCATTCTTTTTTAAAAAATATATATATATATATTTTATTGATTTTTTACAGAGAGGAAGGTAGAGGGATAGAGAGTTAGAAACATCCACGAGAGAGAAACATCCATCAGCTGTCTCCTGCACACCTCCTACTGGGGATGTGACTGCAACCAAGGTACATGCCCTTGACCGGAATTGAACCTGGGACTCTTCAGTCCACAGGCTGACACTCTAGCCACTGAGCCTAACTGGTCAGGGCTAGAGTCGTTCTTAAATATAAATGTTTTTATGCACATAGTTGTCTCCAAAATTTGATTGCAGGCAAGTTGAGGGTGTAAGTCAATGTCTCCGTTTTTCTTCCAGTCTATGTGTTAGCGAAAGTGGGTCTGCTGGCTGAATCTAACATCCGGTAAAAAGGCCCAGGAGTCTCATGAGGACCAGGGTGGATCATAAGCACATTCAGAACCCCAGCAGCGGAGACAGTGATGCTTCCAGCTTCCCGGCACATTTCTATGCCAGAGAACATGCATTCAGCGGTACTTTTTTTTTCCTGTTGATAAAAGAAATATTGGGTAGCAGGTGTTTGTTAATTTTAATGTATGCATTTAAAAAGGTGTCAGCTGCTTAAAGAATATAGAAAATCAGGATGCTGCAGAGGTGGAGCTGACATGATTGCTCTCACGAGAGAACTGAAACCGCCAGGCACTCGAGTTTCCAGTCCCAGACAGCGGACAGTGACGGCAAAGGCCGGTAAATCAGGCACGACCACCCAGACTCTGTGGTTCTTGGTGTGGGATCTTCCGACAACAACCCTTGACATGCGGTTTGTTCATTTGGGAAGTAAACCCCAGCTTCTGAGGAGATCTCATTCAATCCTCACTACAGCTCCCTCATAGCGGGTGGGAGGAAACCGCCCTAGGGAGGAAAACTAACTTGGTCAAGGTCATGCAAGAAGTGCAAGACCGTCAACAAAGAGTGGCTGTTGTTAATATTTGGAGATTAAGAATGCTGTAATAATAGCAACAATCCAGTCTGTCTTGGTAGAGCACGTCAAGGTGCTTTCTCAGACGCTGGCTTATCTTGCTGCATTCACGCGAGGAAGCTGTGGAGTTGATCGCAATCCCAGGGCCCTTGTCTGAGTCTCTTCCCCACGGGCTCCCCACCTCCTTGGAGGCCTGAGGGACCAGTGTGCGGTGCCAACTGGCAGTTCAGCTCCCTTCTGGATGTGACTGCTTGTGTTTAATTGGGAGAAAACATTGCAGGAGGTTAAAGTATCTGTTTGCAGAAGTTTGGAAAATCCCACTGTTGCAAAGGTAAACACCAAACCTTCCTGCGTGTTCCAGTCTCCCTCTTGCAGGATGGAGTTAGCAAACAGCCCACGTAACCACTGCCATTGTCTGGAGAGAAGGGAGATTCAGAGGGGCCGCGAGGTCTGGAGAAACAGCCGCTACAGGATTAAGACTGAAAATCAGCCTCTGGTGTTACACTGACATCTATGCGTTTTCCTCAGGGGTTCAAGGGGAACAGAACCAGGTTTTACAGAATCTTACACAGGACAGTTTGCCGATTGGTACGTGAGGGTCCTGTGTGCTTCCTCTCACTTTGGGAAGACTACTGGTAGAAATGAGTGCATCACAGAGAAAGTGCCAGAAATCTTCACTGTACAGTTGTCCCCTTAACCAACAGACATGTGAGGTTCTCCAGGCAGGCGACAGCACGGCCGGAGGGTGAATGGCCCACTGTGGAGTCAGTTCTTCTTGTCACTAGTCCCCAGTGCACTGAGGTCCACACAGTTTTAAATGCACACAAAACCATTGGGTTAATTAGGTCATCGCTTTTGTATATTTGACCAGTTTTTTTCTGATGCTCTTATGATGAAAATGAATGTGAGACATAATTAAATGCCAGGTCTAGATTATTGGACTGTCAGAATCTAATAATAATAAAATACTCCTCTTGGGTTTCTTCCTGATATAAAAATCAACCCCAAAGGGGTGAGAACAGAAGAGTGAAAGAAGGCTGTGATCGGAAACGTATCACATAACGTGGGCATCACGCTCCTTAGGACGTGTGTTTTCCACGGCACTGGGCGGCGGCCGAGGCTCGTTAAGGCTGCATCCAGAGGCACTCTGCACACCATCCTCGTGCCGAGCCGCGCTGGCTGTTCTTTGAGTTACTCTCCCGGTTATCTGTTGCTGCTTAATAAGACCCAGCAGCCTCAGCAGCTAGACAAGAGCCACTGTACTTGCTCCCAAATTGCAGCTGGGACTGCTGACTGAAGCTGGAGACTCCACCTCTAGGATGGCCTCAGTCACCAGCTGGCAGGTAGGTGTGGCTGCCGCTGGGAGTTTGACGGGCCCCTGGCTGGCGCCTGGGTTCTCTTCCACGTGTGCTTGTCCACGTGACGAGGTTGGACGTCTCTCAGCATGGCGGTGTAGGGTAGCCCGATCGCACATGAAAGCAGGAGCAAAAGCAGAATCCACAGACACACCAGCATCCCTGCCTGGTCCTGCAGGTCACAGAGCTGGCCCCGCTTCAGGGGGATGGGCTACAGGTGAGCATACATGCCTGAGGGACATTCACTCGGGCCAGTCCAGTCTGCCGCACCACTCCGTGTGCTATAGCTTAGGACACCGTATCGCTTCCCTTTGGGAGATAGTTTTGTGTGCAAAGACGTGAAGTCGAGGCCCTGCCACAGGAACCTGGGTCGGGTGTGCACCCATGCTTGCAGGCTGGGGCAGGGTGTGAGGCCACAAGGGGTGTGGGATGGGACATTTGCAAGATGCTGAACTGGCACTGGGTGACAAACTGTTTCTAAATCATAGCACTACCTGTCACTTGCATAAAATGCCAGGGACAACATGAGCCCCAGTAACAGTCGCAATGAATGCTTAATTTCCCCTTATGCTTTCACAGGGGCAAGCCATGGAGACTTTAGACATTCCATGTCGCTGGAAGAACTGTGGAAACGAGTAAAATCTCAGCACACTCTTGCCATTTTACATGTACACAGGTCCTTTCTTCCAGCTGGGGAACAAATGGAACCCAGGGATGGAGAAAACCCTTTTATTAAAATTCAGACTTAAGTATTGCTGAATATACCGCCACCAGACATAGTTATCCTTGCCAGCATCATTAAAATTTGATGTTGTTACTTAACTCTCTGGAAATGGATCACAGTTAGGTCACTACCTTCGCTAATGGGCTTGTACCGAAGGACTTGGAAGTTCATATCCTAGAGCAGTACACCCGCTGATCAGTTTCAGGGCCGGCGAGCTCCACGATCACTCCCATAATTAAGAGTTCCCGGGGACGGCTGGCTTCTCAGAAGCGCTGTTTCCTAATTTCTGATGCCGTGTTAGGGAGGCGCTGTAGCATCGAGGAAGACTCCTAAGCGCGGTCACCTGCGTCAGGACAAAATGAGGGTGCCAACTACTGCACCTCTGCCACGCACTGTGACGTTATCACCATCATCACCCCTGTTTTTTCAAAAGAAAGACATTGAAATATAAAGGAAGGAAGTATGTAAATTGGCAGAGCCAGGAGTCAAAGCTGTGCGGCTTTATTTGCAGGTTGAGTGCCTACCTGCTGTAGGACCATCCGCAACTGCACGGCCTCCTGGCGGCCACTTCTCAAGTGCGGTCCCTGGAGCAGGACTTGTGCAAACACAGAATGGAGACTTCACTCCAGATCTGCTGAATCAGAAACTAGGCAGAGGAGGGGAGGGAAGGGGGAGGGAGGGAAGGGGAGGGAAGGCTTGGGGTCCTGCCCTGATAGGTGCTCTCTCCCTCCTGGTAATTCTAATGCAGGTTCAAGTGTGAGAATCACTTGTTTGGACTTCACTTCAAGAACAATGCTATAAATGACAGGGTTCACTGATGAATGATCAGGAGCCGTGGGCTTCTCAAGGCACCTACTCAGCGGAGATCAAGGCACTTCAGAGAAGGGATCCACATCCAGCGAACATGCAGCCACAGCTTCCCTTAACGATCACGCCTTCACATTTCACTGGACCTGAATTTGCTCTGCATCCCAACTCTCCAGTGGATCCTATGCTTCCGTTTCCTCGTATTAAAAAGTAGATACTGATGCTTGCTTTTGTCCCTTCAGAAATAGTCCAAGAATTAATGGCCTGTATTAAACTCTTTTAGTTCCTGGAAAAAAGGCAATATACAAGCAGTATATTAATATTTTAAGCAGGTTAACTTTTTTTCTATTTGTCTTTTTGGATGATCAGACATATTGCCTTTTTCCAAAATAATTATTTTATTTTAAAAAATTGTCTTCTTTAAAGGCCTTGCCCAGACAGAAGCCTGTCTTTGTAAGTGCTGAAGCTTTAAGACGGCTGGTTTGGCCTGTGGTAAGAAGGCGCTGCAGTGCCGAGCAGGAGTGCGGGGTGAGAGATGGTAATGCCAAGTTTAAGCTCTCAATGTTACTTTCAGCCGTGCAAATTTGGGTGGCCTCTTCCTGCTTCTTGGTTTCAGTTTATTAAATTATAAAAGGTGACGTTATAGCACAGAGTCACACAGGACAGGCCCTGGCTTCACAGAGCTGGGTGTGAGTCCTGACCTGCTGTTCACCAGCTGTGTGACCTCAGGGTAGTTAGTTGCCTTCTCTGACCTTTCATCTCCTCGTATGTAATGAGGGTAGTGATAGGATTAAATGAGGTAATAAAGCTAACGTGCCTGGCACTTCACAGTAAGTGCTGGCTATTGTCATTATTCACAAACATTCAGGGTAGTCAGGATTCCAAAGAGGCCTTGCTGGTTTGGATTTTTAGGACACAACTTCTGGAAGTTTCTCCCAGAACTTCCAGTTGTTTTCTTTCCTAAGAGCTCAACATTCATCCTTATTCATGATGGAGCACCTACCATGTGCCAGGACCATTGAGGGCACTAGGGCTCCACTGAGCATAGATATAACTCCTCGCCCTTCAGGAGTTCACAAGCTGAGGGCTGGCCTGTCTTGAGCGGTTCTAGGTGCATGGAAGTTCTCAACACATCTTTGTTCCATTGAATGGAACCCTTCTGGACTGAAAAGCCTTCAGCACCGACAGGAAGCTGTTTGTCTTAGCCTCACCTGTTCAGATACATTTCCCCTGGGGAGTGCTCTGTGCGGTTACTTTTGTGAAGGGACGGCTCACCTGGCAGCGCGTGTAGAGAACTGTGGGAAGGAGGTGGGTGTCTCCACTTCATCTCACCTGAGGGACTGAGGGGAGACTTGACAAATTGGGTGGGTGGGAAGGCGGCACCGCAGCTTGATTAACAGGAAGCAAAGGACATTTTGAAAGCCACCTGCTTAGCTGTCAATCGCAGTTTGCTGGCTAAGGAGAAAGGGGTGGAGACCACGCCTCCTGTGTGCCTGGGGGCATCGCTCCAGGGGGAGGTCTGGGGATCTGAGTGCCACTGCTCCCACCTGCGGGGAGGAGGTGTGTGAAACCCTTTTGGATCCAGACTGCAAACCTTCCTCCTGGCACTTGGTCTCCCCGGCCTCAGGCCAGCAAGCGTCTGAGGAGGATGAGTGTACGCCTTCCTCTTCTTACAGCATAAATGAAACATCACACAGGCGTCGGCTGGAACGGTGACAGGAATGAAGGGAGCTCCAGTGCATTAATGCAGCATGGCCGATGGGTCCCAGGGCAGCGAGAGCACCAGCAGGTCAGAGCCCGGGAGGTACCAGCCAGGCCACAGGCAGGCAGAGCTGGAGAGCTGTGGGCCTGGCCCCGATCCCACAGCACCTCAGCCCACTCAGGTCTGGAGCCAGGCCCGAGAGCCTTATCAGCCGTTCACAGCCGCACTGCTGTGCCCGGAACAGGCCGGAACACTCAGGACCACAGGCCGGGCTGGCCCTGTGAGGGAAGCCGTGGCCAGGCGGAGCGGAGGCTGAGCCAGGGCACTTGTCCACCTGGAAGGGTGTGCAGATACGATGAGGCCTGCTGGCAAGGTAAGGTCAAGTCCAGATTGCTGGGCCAAACTGGAGCCCAGTTCAGTGTCCAAGGAGACATCGGGCTCTGGTGTCTGTACTACTTTCCCAGCGCAGCCATAACAAGTGACCACAGCCTGGCTGGCTGGCTGCAGAGTTCTAATCCCTCCCAGCCTGGAAGGTGGAGGTGTGAGATGGAGGTGTGGTGGGGCTGCTTCCTTCCGGGCCTGAGGGCGGCTCTGGTGCAGTCAGCAGTCCGTGGTGCTCTCGGCTTGTAGCTGCATCACCCGTCTCGGCCACCACCTGCACATCACCTTCTCCTCTTTGGAGAAGGACACTGTCATTGGGTTAGGGCAGTGGTCGGCAAACTGCGGCTCGCGAGCCACATGCAGCTCTTTGGCTCTTCCACAAAATACCGACTTCTATGCATGGGCCACGAAATTTCAATTGCACTGTACATGCGCGCCTGCACGTGGTATTTTGTGGAAGAGCCACACTTAAGGGGCCAAAGAGCCGCACGTGCTCACGAGCCACAGTTTGCTGACCACTGGGTTAGGGCCACCCCAAATTCAGGATGGTTTCATCTGGAGATTCTCAATTATGTCTACCTTTACAAGTCTGTGGGTTAGGTCCTATCTTTTTTTAGGGTCACCGTTGGACCCGTACAGTAGATATAAAGTAAAAAACTTGGATTTTCATCCCAACTAATAATAGGATAACAGCTACACTTTAAGTTTTACCATTTGTCAGGCACTCAGTCATGATCACCAAACATTTGTGGAACTGCTACTATATGCCAGGTACCAGTCTAGATTCTGGGGCTTTTAGTAATAAACTAAACTGGTGTATATCTTGTTCTCACGAAATCCACACTCTAGAAGGGGAGAGGGTAGATACAGACAGACAGTGAACTGAAGGGCCTGGTGTGTGAGGTGCTGAGCACTACAGAGACTGTGGGTTAGGGGAGGTGGTGAGAAAGTGCTGGGTGCGGGGAGGGCTGCAATGTTACATAGGATGGTCCAGGACAGCCTCAGTGAAAGCTCTTATGGGAGCAAGGTCTCTAAGGAGAGGAGGCAATGAGCCTGGGAACCGCCTGGAGAAAACGTCTCCCAGGTGGAGGGCAGGTCAAGGACAAAGGATCCGAGGCTGGATGTGAGTAGTGAGTCCAGCAAGGCAGAAGGGGAGCAGGAGGGGAGCAGAGAAGCAGCGGAGGTCAAAGAGCTAACAGAGGCCAGGCCCTGTGCACACAGCTGGCTGTGCTTTGGCATTTGCTCAGAGTGGAAGGAGGAGCCATTGGGATTGTGAGAGGAGGTGTGAAGAGACTGCAAGGTCACTTCTGTGTCTGTATTGAACATAGGGTCATGGGAAGGCAAGGGCAGACCAGGGAGACCACAGGCACTGCTGTGCCTACTAGTATGTAGGTGGTCACTCAGCCTCCAGGCCCAGGATGCTGGGCTCACACTGGATGAGGTTTCACGTGCATTGTGGAGCTGTAACTACTAGAATATGCTGATGGTTGGATCTGAGGCATGATGGAAAGGAGTCAGTGATACTGCCAAGGTCCTAGGCCTGAAAACTGGAAGCATGTACTGAGATGGGCTGGTAATAATTACTTTACATGCATTCAACAGCCCACTGCTCAGCCCTGAAAGGCTCATAATAGTATTGTACCCATTTTCTAGATGAACCAGAGGCACAATGCAGGAAGATTTGTGCAAGAAAGGGCCTTCCTTCCCCTGGCTGCTGGCACTGCCTTCGCTCCAGTCCGGAGCCGCCTTTCCTCCTTCCCACGCTGCCCAGAGGCCCAGAGCAGCTGGGGCGGTGTGGCAACAACCCAAGAGTCCTGCCCCGCCCCCGGCCACTCAGCGCCTGCATATGCAAATTAATCCACCATCTTTGTTGGGTTAATTTGCATGCTCACTCCTGATTGGCTGGTGCACGTCACAAAGTTATGGTCAATTTGCATCTTTCTCTTTTATTAGTGTAGATAAACTGAATCTTTCAAAATTTAAGTGAACTGTCTAAGACAGCCGTGGGCAAACTATGGCCCGCGGGCCAGATCCGGCCGGTTTGAAATGAATAAAACTATTGAAAAAAAATCCATACCCTCATACCCTTTTATGTAATGTTTACTTTGAATTTATATTAGTTCACACAAACACTCCATCCATGCTTTTGTTCTGGCCCTCCGGTCCAGTTTAAGAACCCATTGTGGCCCTCGAGTCAAAAAGTTTGCCCACCCCTGGTCTAAGATCATGTAACTAGTAAGTGCTTCAAATGGGATTTAGATCCAGGTCTATTTATAATCCCAGACTCCTAACTCCCAAAGCCTCAGTTTTTGCCTCTCTAAAAGGGATATTATCTTATTATTATGCCTTATTATCTTATTATGTGCCTTATCTATACCCACAGGGTTGTAAGTATTATATGAGAATGAATGTAAAAATGCTTTATAAATTACAATGTACTGCACGATTGTGTATGATATCTATAATTATGTAATAAAATACCCCAAACTTTGTGATGTAAATTAACAATGATATATTATTCCCTCTCATGGTTCTGGAGGCTGACTGGGCTCAACATGGTGGTTCTGGCTTGGGTCTCACACAATGTGGGTCAGATAGTGCGGGGCTGGGGTTATCCAAAGACTTCCTCATTCTCATGCCTGGTTGGTGATGGTGGCTGTTGGTTGGGATATCAGCTGGGAATGTTGTCTGGAACACCTACGCATGGTCTCTCCATGGCCTGGGCTTCCTCACAGCATGGCGGCTGGGTTCTAAGAGCAAGCATCCCTAAGAGGGAGGACCAGGGAGAAGCTCTTCTGTTTCCTGGAAAGTCATGTAGAATGACTTCTGCCACACTCTGTGGACTGAGAGAATCACAGAGTTCCACCAGATTCAAAGGAAGGGGGTAGACACCACTGCTTAATGGGGGAGTAGAAAGTCACATGTGAGTCACATGTCAGGAAAAGCATCAGGGTAAGAGACAGTTATGGCCATCTTTGGAAAACACAGGCCACAGCAAAGTAGAAGATACTATTCCAAGGGAAGTTCAATCAAGGAAAGAAGGCCTGACAGAGTTAGACCGACTGGGCCGCAGGTTCACGCAGGCAGAAGTGGAAAGAGACGTGCAGGGCAGGAGCTAGACATGGCCCCCGGGGTTGCAGCAGTAAGCAGACAGCTTCGCGCGGCCACATGATGATGGATGTCTGGGCCCAGATCAGAAAATTCTGCTTTGTTATATTTTTTTCCTTTATGATTTGTTCCTAAACTTATAAAAGGAGCTGTATTTAACAATGTTATAGAAAAAAAATAGAAGCTATAGGGAAATATAACAGGAAAACAGTTACCCACCATCCCTGCACACAACCAGAGCGAAGAAAAATGTGCTGAGGCTGGGTCTGGTAGTCTGCCTGTGGGGGCCCAGTGCAGAGCACAAGGGCTTTGGGTTTAGGAATCTCACAGCCTGGGTTTAAATTCTCTTATAGCTGGATAATCTTGGGCAAGTTTCTTCACCTCTCTG